GTTTCTAATTTTCTTCGATTTTTGTAGCTTCTTCCTCCATCTTATTTATGGCTCTGTGATCCTTTCAGATGTGCTTGGGACATGCATCTTTTACTTAGTCCCCAGTGATCAAATCCAAATTTCACATCATTTCTTTTAAAGCAACTTATTGTTTCTTTTTGTATAGTCTCCTTAGTAGAAACTGACTGCTAGATGCAGTTATTTTAATCATCTAAAGACTTCATGATGGCAGGTACCCAAACTACTTTTGGAAGTTTTCCATCAACTTTTTATTTCACTGGCATAATACACTGTAGAGAACTTTAAAAGACAGAAACAAGGAGTCCTTTCACTCTCCTGTCCTTCCTTCATCTCACGCTATCCATGAAAGAAATTTGTCTTCCACTTCATCCAAAAAGATCTTGGCCACCTTAAAACATTCACTAATAATAACAGTAAACTTCAGAAGAGCCTCCAGTCACTTGCAGGCCAAAAGTTTGCTCTGCAAAACATCAGATTTACCTGGAACACTGTAGCAGAGTTCAATGATCTGAGACTTACAAGGTGCATAGCGTGCCAGCAACCACTGTCAAGAGCTGATGCAGGAGAAAGCTTGTTCCAGAGAACTCCTAAGAGTCTGAAAAGCTAAAGTGCAGCCTAAGGTTATCACAGAGGAACAGTGTGTTGCACAGAGCAGCAGCTATAAATAACGCACAAAGAAAACAGTTTTGCATTTGTTTGTGTCTGAGTACATATACCAGAGAGATGGATTAAAGCCTCTTTTCTCTCTCTCTCTCTTTTTTTTTTTTTTTTTTTTTTTTTTTTTTTTTTGAGCAACACATCAGATTAATTCAACAACCTCTTCACCAAAGAATGCTCTCATGGGATGGCATGTTCCTCTTCTCCTCTTCTTCCAGGAATCCAATTTTTCTTGTTCAAAATAAGACTATTGAATGTTCAACTTCTGAGACTATGCCCTTTTCTTTTGGCCCTTGGTAGGGCTCTAGCTGCTCCTTCCTGCACTGTTCAGTCTCAAAACCAAGCCAATCCTCTCTTTACTCCTTCCTCCTCCCTATTGTGTAGGACTTCACAAACCACCAACTCTGGTGCCCAGCACAAAAACATGTTCTACTCCTGTCACCCAAAAGCCTTCTCAATCTCAGCAGCTCATTCCCCAGTGCTGTCCTCCATGAAGACCAGGTAATCTTAATCCACCACCTGAGTTTTAGCTTCACAGCAACTGTCATGAGACACTGAGCATAACAGTTTCTAGAGCAAAAGAAACACATCTCCCACCGCAAAGTGAGCCATTTAAAAGCAGCCCATTGAAAATGCAGCCTTGGCTGGCTGGCAAATAAATGGGAACCAATCCAACACCATTTTTCAGAAGGAACTGGAAGCAGAAACCTGCCTACTGCCTGTGCTGAACCTGCACCCAGCCACCACTTCTGCTCCTTGCCAGAAACCTATGATGTAGAAGTCCTGTGGATTAATCTCAACAGAACGCCATCGTTACACAAACCACTATGAACTGATGTCTCCTAAATCCCTGTCTGAAGTTATTAATATGCAAATGATGTTCCTAGTCCCTTCACAGCATTGGGAGTTTAACAGTTTAATAATCTCTGGCCTTTAAGATGAGAAGCTAATTGTATTTTACCACTTCCTTGGTGAACCGGTACCAAGCTTAAGGTAACGTACGCCGTTGTTAGTACATATCTGGGCTGGTAATAAGAGCAAATCCACAACAAAGCTTCACAGAGCAAAGAAATATATGTAAAAGTAAAACCTAATGATAGTGATGGAGAAGTCTGGCAGCAGAAAGCATGTGTCAGCAATTTCACAAGAAACAGCAACAGCTTTCCATTTTACTTATTTTCTATTTGATATCTAGGAGTCTGAAAGGTAGAACTGAAGAAGATAGGTTCCCTCCTCACCCCACCCTTTTTTCAAATACTCCAGTATTGATTTCCATGAGGCTCTAAACTGGCAGATTGTCTTTGAACCTGAAATAATTTTTTATCTAGATTACAGATCATTTCCCAGCAACTGTTATTACAATTATTCACTGTATTTTGAAATATCATCAGTGAAATACAATGAATAGGAAAAAATAATGAATTCATGAAGTGCTCTAATCTTGCCCACCTGTTCTGAAAGTGAGCCATTTACTCTCTTCAAAGTTATTAAGATGGCATGAAAAGATACAAACCTGAATCTTTAAACTGCTGGGGTAGGATAGGCTTTATGGTTATCTAAGAACTTAATTGCAAAGCTGAATGATAAGTTTTTAGTCTTTAAAGAACATTAAGTCTTCATCCACATGTTATGAGAAGCTTCAAGAATTAGAAACATTTTAAAAAAGTGGTATTTATCAAAAAAATAGATCTTTACTGTAACAGGGCAGTAGTGACAAAAGTATTTTACCTACACAACTGCCAAAAATAATTAAAAACTCACACACAGCAAAGTCTACTCAAGCGTAACTAAGATGTTTTCCACAGTGCAGCAAATGACAAGTGTAATTACTAGGCTATGAAGAAAATTATCACCATGGAATCATCATAAAATTGGATTAAAATTTGGATTACATAAGAATATGTACTCTGTAGATTGCTGGACTTAGTAGCCCTATTCAAAATTTGTATACAAGGCAAATTGGTAGGGTTGTTAGAAAGGCCAAGTTCAAAGCCATTGTAAAAAATACCTAAATTTTATCCATGCTTTCAGATAGCAGCTATTATATTTGTAAATGTTAAACTATAATATGTTCCATCTCACAAACAGAGAGCCATATGACTGTCTTTTCATAAAGAGAGAAAAAAAGACATTTCCATATGTATATATGTCATCTGGACACTAACTTCTTGTTATCCCAGCTGTCAATATAAGGAGTGGGAATCCTGACCAACTCATAACTGGCACGTGTGAATTTTACGCAGTTCTGATCAGAAATCTGCTGAGGTGCCAATGTTCTCAATAGCCAAGGGGCCTGCGTGACCTGACCATATGCTATCTCTTAACACAACAGATTCGTGTCAAAGCAAAGCAGTTCGAATGTTTTCAGTGCTCATTCATCATGGCCTGCAATCTGTAAACAGTTTGAAATCACTTTACCTAGACATACACTAGAACCACTGATTTCAGCTTGAAACATGAGCTTTCTGTTTGGAGATGGGCTTGAAGTGCCTCTGCAGACCTGACTATCTTCCATGTTTTGAGGAAATGTGATTGGAATCTGCGTTTCATCTTGTCAGGACTAAGAACATAAACTACAAGTAACGACTGCTTAACAAGAAAACAACTGACTATTAGCTTCTATTGAGAGAAGATACTTGATAAGTATTATTCCTAGAATCACAGCAAGAAAGGATTGAACAGATACTGCTCTGAAGATAATAATAATAAATAATAATAATAATAATAATAAAGATACTGGAAACTGGATTTCTTGAAAGCCCAGTATGGTCAGTCCTGACTTCTTGAAAGTCCAGCAGTTACTGCAAAGGCCACAATCAAATGCCAGGCACTCTTCAAAATCAAACCTCATCTACGGGTATAAAATACTGCAGTAGAAATGTACGCGGGACCCAACTGCAATAAAATAAAAAATGAGTAGTTGCAGAAGAAAAAAATCTTTAAAAGAAAAACTTTAAACTTAATAACCTGACCCAGCACCTTACTTTTCTTTGTCGGAAAACTACTGAAAGGTTTCTCAGGCAAAGGAAGAACTTAACTTAAACTATGGTTTCCTTGTAGTTCAGAAGGCTTTATCACAGGTGTCAATACAGACAACATAACTCAGTCTGTGCTTTTCCTTGAACAGACTTCATTTCAAACTTACTAATATTTGCAAATCTAGAACTTTCTAGGAACTATAAACTCATTCTAAACAGTAAGCAAGCAAGTGAAGTCAGTCAGACTGCTTTAAAAATTGGAAAATCCATTTGCCAATAATCACTCCTTCTTTCTTTTTGTCCCTGTGCATAATCTTAGCAAAGAATTATAGAAATGAATACCTGAAATAAGATTAGTTTATTGGAGCAATGCAGCTTTATGAGTACCTTATAAATAGGTGAAATCTCCCCAACAAGAAAAAAACTGCTTGCAGAAATGGGTGGAGACAAAAATAAAACGGACAACCTAATTAATGTCAGTTATGATGACTTTAAATGCCCTGACATCCTTATTATTTTGGCCATACTTTGCTCAGCATGGAAACAACCACTGATTTTAATCTCCTTTTACCACGGCTCGTCTGGGTTCATGCATATATGAAAAAGCACAGTTACATTTTTACTCCCACCATGAAGCTCAGAAATCCTACTAGGAACAGAAATCCCTCTCACAGGTAGGTTGGCATTGCTCCCAACTAACAGAAGTACGCTGGCATGAGACTCAAACATACAGTCTGAACTGAAGAGATATTCAGAAAGGAGATGGTCTTACTCTTCCCTTACCTGCATACAGCAATGTATTTCTTTGCTGGAGAAATAATGAAGTGCCTGGAGGAAGACCTCTTCAGCAAAAAACATAGCCTCATTGGCAGCAGTTTCTTCATTTCTTCCCAAGCACTCTAATTACACCTTGGTCAGTTCTTACTCTAAACAACAAACGCAACTCAAAGCACACCATGCTTAACAGCTTTCTTTGGGATTTAAAAACAAAAACAACACAAAAACAAAACAAAACAAAACAAACAAAAAAAAACAACACGGTATTTCCAACTTGCATTTAAGTTTTTTTTTTTCTGCAGTAACATTTTTCTGTAGCTATACTTCGACAATTTCATGTTATGCAATAAAGTTGTTTTTCTGCTTAAAATTAAAAAGTCATTATTGATAATCTGGCAAATGCTTCAGAATTCCTTATTGCTATACTATGTCACCTACTGGCCCCCAGCAAATGGCTTCTTTTAGAAGGCATTTTCTTTTATTGAGGTCAAAGCTAGAAAAATTCCACAGCAGTCAAAAATGTTCTACCCATACCACAGTGGACATTTCTATGAGCATTACTGAAAATTAACAAAGGGTAATAGTTTTATTTGTCTTGCAAAAGCAGTATAGTATTCTACATTACAGGACACAGGTGTTCTGGCAACAACACTCAAACTGCAAAAGTATATGTAACTGATTGCAGGGAGACACGTATATTAACTTTTACAGGAATTTTCCATACAAGTCCTTCTGAATTTCTTTTGCTCCTAGAGAGTTCACATTGTAATTAAGAATCAGCAATGAAATACAAAACAATATAAAGAATTATAGCAGTAATTAATGTCATTGCTTTCAAGCTGAAAAAAAAAAAAAAGTAATTTGTTAATGAAAATCACTACTGGATAACAGTAGCTGTTAACAGAAAGAATTGTTATAATAAATTACACTTCATAAATGAATATTTATTAGAAAAGCCCTCCTAATCCACACGTGTCACATTTTATCAGTAAAATGAACACAGTAGTTTAGCCAAGACATCCAATAGTCCGGTTTCTACTATCCACACATAAACAAGCCCTTATGTGACATAATCACAAATAATCACAACATATTTGGGAAACCTGTGGTAGGAAATGCTCTGGGACAAAATCCTCTCTGGGAGAGGCCTCCAGTTGCTCTAGGGCTCCCAGCAGTCTGCTGCTGAGAGGAGAGGGCTGGGCATGCTGGCAGGTCTCAGGACAGCTTGGGATCCATTTGTCTTGCAACTTCATATTAGATTATACAGCATTATCACAGCATCAGGGTAAGCGGCATAACAGTTCCCTAGGGCGGTTCACATCTAGCTTCCCCAGAACAGCGCACAGCTCAGACACCACCAACTGGGCAATCCCAAAACAAATCACTGGCTTAGTCTCTCGCATGGAGAGTACTCTTCGGACATACCCCTTGCCTACTGCTGCACAGTCCTGGCACAAAGCTGCGACAGTTGTCATTAAAACCCTGCAGGAGATGGCACACTGCAGACCTTTGGGAGCAGAGGGAAGGAGCGGTGCAGCTGCTAGAGACTCTACAGGATCCCCTATTTCATGTTGTGGCCCAGGTCCTGAATTCAAAGATTGTACAAAGAATAGCAAGAAACTGAACAAACTACAGAAAGGCCTTGTTTGTGGAAACTCAGACCACTCTTGCAGATGTGCTTTATGGGAAGGTTATTGGCCTGCAAGGTTTTTGGCTTTGCCAATCAAAAGACTATCCTACTGAATGCATTTGGAAAAAAAAAAAAAAAGTTTCTTACAAAAGATATGTATCAATAAGTTACACGAAACAAGGGGAGCTCTAGTGCTAACGAACCCTGGGCAGTACTTTTGCAAAAATTGAAAATACCACCTGAGAAAAAAAAAAATAAGCTGGCAAGAAGAATAAAAAAGTTTAACTACTGCCTTAGTCATTTCAAAGCTGATTGGTAATGTGATAGATGAACTAATACCTTGTTTTCATTGTATACATTGATATATATGCTAGTTGTATCATTAGTCATGGTGTTTGTGAAGCTTTCTTTGGCACCGTACAACTCCATTCAGAAGCATTTTGAGGTTTCCCCAATGACTCCAGTCAGACCCACGGTACAACCTCATTAGACTAGGAAAGATAGAAAAGGGCAGACAGAAATGAGAGACACAACCAATGATACAGGCATGACAAATAATACCGAGTACCAAAACAGAGGGAAAAGATTTTTCAAAAGTATATTCCTTCCTAAGCTCCAAAAAAGTAAGTTATTTAGATATAAGTGTCTAACAATTGGCAAAAAAAAAAAAAAAAAAAAAAGGAAAAAAAAAAAAACAAACAAAAAAACAATCTCTACAAAATTTCATGTATTAAGTCTGTGACACACACAAAAAATTATATATAAATAAATAAAAGACATTCTATTCCTTAGCAACATTGTACAAAGTTGGCAACAGTAACAGGATATAGGGATTTCAAAATCCAAAAAATAAAAATAAAAATAAAAAATAAAAGTCAGACTAGTCACTGTATGTGTCAGCATGTGTACTTAGTGACTTGTATCTTCTGGACATGAGCTAAAGGTGACATGTTAACTGTCTAATATTCCATACAGAAACAAATGATAAAATACAACATATAATGAGCTGCGAGATAATAAGTGGATCAACTGTATAACTGCATTTAGTGGGCATCTATCTAGCTACATATTGCAAAACCTTCATAAAAAGAAAAGTAATCACAAAGGTGACAAAACCAAAAATCTACCAAACAAACAAAAAACATACCTCATTCAACAGGATAAGATATATCCTTTTTGTAAATAAAAGCCACCTCAAAATCCTTGGATGTAGCTTCATTTTCTGCTCCATAGAGGGCTTTTCTTTTCTGCTCTTGGTTTTGGCATGTGTTGAGGTACTGCATGTTCTGTGGAGAGCAAGAGATTTGCAACATAGATTGAAGCACAAAATACAGTTTAAAACATATTCACTTACACAATAAAAGTGCACAGATATTCAGACTGTTTCAGCTGCACAACATTTCTGTAGTTCAGTCTTGATCTTGACCTTTATTCAAGCATGAGCATGCACTGCTTTAATTACTTGCATTCACCAATTGTGTATTTATTTTAATTTTAGTGCTACCACTACCTTTTGTCTTCAACTTGAAAAGCAAAAATACAAGTTTCTAGAGATCTAGCTCTTGTTCAGCCAGGTGCTCTTCTGCATGCTTACCTTCATGCACTATTATTACATTCAGAGTTTCAGAAGAGGACTGTTCTTCTAGCCCTGTGAGCCTTTACCCAATTACAAATTGAAAATCACTACAGAGGACTGTCACTGTTTTCATCAGCTATGCATTTCACTCTATATTTAAGAATGAATCCAGTTGTCTTGAATGCTTATCAACTGTTATTCCCTCAAAAAAACACATGCCACAGATCTCAGAGACAAGATTCATGATACTGATTAAAGCATATTGTTTACAGTCCATAAACACTTTTTTTTCTGATGGTTTCATCATAAGGTAATTCCATTCTAGGAGTGTAATTAACATATTTTCCAGGGCTCATTAATCTTTATTTATTCATTCAGTGAACACGAACCATATCTATTAAAAGAAAAATCAAGACATGAACTTTAATTTAAACCACTATTTTACTAATTGTGTTTAAGTTTAGGAAAGCCTAATACATAATCCTAAAATCAGTTTTCCCTTTCTTTATATTTAATTTACAAAAAAGCCTTTGAATAAAAAACGTCCTCTATAAGACCTAGTCTCCTCCCCTTACTTTGACTGCAGTCAGTACCAGTGAATTTTTACAAGTCAAAGTAGGCTTTATGTCCAACAAGTTTGTTTCCTTATGAAACCACCACAGTGCATCAGAAAACAAGGTGGTGGGTTTTGTTGTTTTTATTTGTTTGTTTCATTGTTGAAGCACCCATGACATAAACAGGGCTTCTTTGTATAAGTTTGTTTTATTATTATGGAAAAATTGCAGGAAGATCTTTCAAAAGATGAAAAAACATCAGGCAGATGCAGATTGATACACAAGAAGCTTCACAAAGTAACACATCAGTGGAGTTCACCAGGACAGCATAAAAATATCATAACCACTGTCAAGTTTTTCAGGCATCAAAAGGAAGGATTCTTAAGAGAAGAGGAAGAGCAACTTAAGAACAGTGATGATACTTCAGGTGTTACAAAGCATGTACAAATGCAAGTGTATTAAAAATCTGTTCTGAATGGCTGCCTATTTCAATAGTTCTGCAGCATCTCAAACACACCAGTGTTGCATGGGTATGTGAATCATTTCTTTTTAAATCAAAGGGAATTATCAACAGCCAGAAATTTGGTATTATCAGTTAAGAAGTTTTCTGTGTGAAGCATTTCAACAGCTGCTAATTACTATAAAAACAAAATCCAAACAACAGCAATGATAACAACAAAGAAAAGCCACAAACTGCTTGTGGACAGCAAAAAGGAAAGAGTAAATTAATTAGTTTTTCACACTGTTGTGGTTTAAACCAGCAGGCAGCTCAGCCCAACACAGCTGCTCATGCACTTGCCCCAGTTGGGAGTGGGAGAAGAATCAGGGAGTTAAAAGTGCAAGAACTCATGGACTGAAATGAAGACAGTTTACTAGGTGAAGCAAAAGCCATGCACATAAGCAAAGAAAAACCTCACCTGGTACTGAAGTCAAAAAGGACAATGAATTTACAGGTGATTTTACAGCTGGATGGGAAGGAGGATGAATTAAAAAGGCAGAGTGGTCTACTTCCTTATGCATTCGTGTACTTCATTCAATCTTGTGTCTAAGAAATTAGTTGTAGGAATTTATTTGCTACTTCCCACCACCAGGCAGGTGCTCAGCCACTCCCAGGACAGCAGAGTTCATCATGCAGAATAGTTTCTTGGGAAGACAAATACCATCACTCTGCACATCCCCCACTTCCTCCTCCTTTCACTCAACTTACATTGCTGAGCATGACTCTACATGACATAGGACATCCCGTTGGGCAGCCTGGGCCAGCTGTCTTGGCTGTGTCCCCTCTTAGCTCCTGGTGTGCCCCCAGCCTCCTTGCCAGAACTAAAAAGTCCTTGGTTCTGTGTAAGCACCGCTCTGCAACAACTACAGACATCAATGTGCTATCACCATTATTTTCATCAAAAATCGAAGACACTACATTGTGTTTCCTCTATGAAGAAAATTAACTCTGTCCGAGCCAAAACCATCACACACACAAACGCACACATTTTCAGTGTTTAATCCTTCTCTGCAATTAAGAGGCTGGGACAACATGCAGAATGGGTGAATACATTCATTCTCTTATAGCCATAGCAAAAAATAACAAGCAAATAATAATAAATTAAATGAGGTGTAAAATGAGATCTATAATTAATGGGTTTTCTGCTGACCATTTAAGTGGCAGTATTATTTTAAATGTTATTTTCACAGAATGTCAGGCTCTGACATACAATATATCAAATACAAAGTTAATTGCATGAGAATATAAATTAACAGGCATTTCCGAATGACAAAAAGTAAACACTGCCAAGACAGAAATTAATGAAATACTATCAATAAAATGTCAAAGTTTTTCTTTCACATAAGGGAAAAAAATGTCTTGCAACCACTGTTTTACAAGTTCAGCAGATATTTTATTTAGAGGCAGACCTCTTTCAGACAGTATTTACAAGTAACAGCTTGCCTATCTATCTGTGGAAATTAAAGAACTAAAGGTACTAGCTGCCCTCAACTAAAATGCATTTCTCCACTCAGAGAAATGAGTTTAAAATGTAAAACTTAATATACTAGATGAGTAAGCCCAAATCTGAAATATGAATCATTCAACACTTCCACTGAAACAGTAATTGGTAATTTCTTTAGGAAAGAGATCATCTCTTTGTTCAATGTTTAAATAACTTTCAATACTCTGAATTTTTGATCCCTGGTATTTTAATTTAAACAATAATAATCTGTTTAAAAATGGAGAAAATCTTGTACTTGGTTCATTTATGATACCAAAAAAAAAAAGAAAAAGAAAAAGAAAAATACAGAAAAATGTTCATCTGACGTTAGTCTAAAACACTATTTTGTGATCTTTGGGATTGACACAAACTGTTCATCTCTGTTCTGTTTGGTTTCAACATCACAAGTCTCCTAAAATAAAATGATAATAATAAAAAAGTAATCAAAACCAAAATTGTTTAAGATATAAATTATATTTTTACAACATGGGTTTACTGAAATCAGACCAAAGTTATAAAACACTTGCATTACATGCATTTTTGATTTAACAAAGATAATTTTGGCCGAAGAATTTTGTTTCACAAGAATATGTGTCCATTTTCTAGACATCCTGAAAACACTATCAACATGTAGGGGGGAGTTGTTTGTTTGTTTGTTTGCTTTCTCTTACATAGTTCTCAAGTTCTGTCAATTTTCACGTGAATAGTATTTTCAGAATAGGAGTTTCATCCTTCCTGAAACACAGGTATCCCCAAGACAGATCACGTACACAAACAGGAATGTACGGTCAGTAGATTATTAGAGAGGTTTTAACAAATTTGAAATGAGACTCCAAATCAGCAGTTTTCCACACAGCTCTAAAACCAGGAGTTCTGGCTATGAAAGGGGCATGAATCCTTTTTCACTGCATTCAGCTCCTCATCTCTCCCTAAAGTCAGTGGATACAGGAAATTATTTGCTCTCAAAATAACAACTTGGGTGGTGTTATTTTCTTTACTGACTTAGCTCACGTGATCTTCCTCAGACAACACTTCTTTTTGATTGTTCTTTTTTAGCACACATTTGTGTGTGACCTAAAGGGTCAAACAGACTTCATCAGGGGAATGGGGGGGATAATTTGCCAGTTTCTTTCAGGGACAGAGCATAAAGCCTAAAAAAATTAATGCAAATAGAGAGCACTCGGCACCTCACAGGAGTTATTCAGCAGTCCCCTGCACCACACTGCATGAAGAAAAATGATTTTAGGTATCTCAGAAGAACAGAAACCAATCTTTGAAAACATTTCTTTAAAAATGTTAAATAGGTTAGCCAGATAGGCAACAAAACAAAAAATATATACAAGGCTTTTAAAAGTGGTCGGAATAGCATCTCTGTCCTGTAAACAGTGTACAGAAAGAGACAGAAAAGGGAAATGCTATAATCTTAATGAGCAATGGCGTAACAAGGATATAGCATTTGAGCATCTTCTGCACCCTATTGCTTAAATTTGGAAAGTTACACATCAGAAGTTTATCTGTTCACAACAGCTGGCTTTCAGAAATACATTTAAGCTGTCAGAGCAGTCTCAGCTGTTACTACTTTACCTAGTGTCTCTTCAGTAACACAAACACACCAGTAAGTGTGAGGTGGAGCAGGAAGAACAAAACTGTGTGGATAATGTATTGGTTATTAACATGCAGTGTCCTTGGAGCATAAAAGCCCAAATTAACACTTAACGCCATGTATTATGAATGTTGCTCAAAAGCTATGATGTAGGAGAGACTGAGAAACAACAGTGTGCAGTGACAAAACCTTGAAGCACTGTTTTCTCTATATATTTATGTACTTCATTTGCTGCTATATTAATCATTATTGCAGCTCTTTATTTTCAACTAAAGTTTTCCTTAAATAAGCTGAGCCAGTAAGAATCCTTCTACACATCAGGCAGTGCACAAGCACATCTAAAAAAAAAATAAAAAAAAAAATCTTCATTTTAAAGAATCTCAGGAAAAAAAAAATAGCTCAGTATTCTCATGGTTCATAGACAATAATCAATAACATATTATTCCTTTACCAATTCAATTCTTTCCTTTTTTAATATTATATATTTTTTATGAGTTCACTTTCAGTGCTGGTTTTCCTTTCTCACTTTTTTTTTTTTTTTGTCATTGTTCAGAGCTTTGTGAGTCTTTCCTTTTAAACAGAACTAGACATTGATAACTTTATCAGATTTTGCAAAGGGTTCTAGCCAAAACCAACCTGCATTTATGGTGGATACGCTAAAGGTTGAGAATAGTGCTTCTCAAGTCTTTGGCTTCAAGACAAATGCCGTTCTGACTAGAACAAACCTTAAAGTGTAGAATGAATCTACCTGCAGGTCAGCTTTGTTTTGTGGCCAGTACTACTGTTGACTGTGCCTTCAAAAACCATGCTATAGGCATATAAAACTGAAAAAGAAGCTAAAATGCATAAGAGTGGAAACTCTAGTGTTCTCTCTTTGTTTTGATGGTTAAGATGTTACTAGTCCTTGCAGTATAAAATGGTCCTGTTATTTCAAGTATATCAACCCTCCCAATACACTAAGCAAAGCTGTTATTATTTTGGCTATTATTCTCTTGAATTTTGACCTACTCCATTGAGTTTTTGATGTTTAAGAAATAAGTTCTCTATCCAAGAAGATAAAAAAAAAAAAAAAGTTAATTAATCACTAACAAGTTGATTCAACTGACCGTGTCTGTGGGAGAGAGTGACAGGGGAGAAAGATCAGTTGAAACTTCTGCCTGAAAAATCTAAATTGGATAGAAAATAAAATGAAATTAAAAAAAATGCACTGGCAAAAACAGAACAATGAAAGACACCATCAAAATAGATACAATTACTTACAAATAAATGAGGTTTATTGTTTCTGATCAAAATTCATCATTCTGAAATCATTTTGTTCCTATTCTGAAAGTACGCAAACAAAGCTATTATGATTCCTTTTTACTGCAGGATAAAAAATACAATACCTCTATAATTGCAGCAATTTAATTTTTTTGTTCTGTTTGAGATTGCATATTGTAAACCAACTTTCCAAGTAAGTGAGAGATTGATGCCACTTGTATTTGAAACTTATTGGGACACCATTTTAAGAACCAGGAAACTGCAAAAGACTTCTAAAAACACAACCCCTCATCAGAGTCTCAAGAATCTACTTTGGACATTTTTCAAAAGAAAGCAAGTCCCATCTCAAAAGATTTTGGTCAAAAATAATAATATAGATTCATTGCTCATTTTCCTAACCTTCATGTTAGTTACTACTTCAGAGCTGAAAATGAACTACACATATCTTTCACCAACTTTAAAATAATTTCCTTTGATGCACTTCTCCAACTGTCTTAAAAAATAAAATTCATAGTGTCTTCTCACCTTTCTTAACTTGCAAGTCTCAAACACAATGACACCTTGCAGAAATTACACAATGCAATTACTAACACCTATTTTCCTCTCCCTCCATTTGTAGGCAATTGGCCAAAAATTCATGAGACAAGACAACAGCAGTCCGCAAGTGTTTTTTATTTGTTTAAATTTGTTTAAATGTTTATTTGGATATACCATCACCCTCCATCCTGGTATGCAATTCCCTTTGCTCTCCAAGCAGCGTTAATACTGCTTTCCATGTTTTGTATGATCAGCAACAAGAACAAATCTATTTCACTGGTTCTCTCCTTTTGGAGTAAGACTTCCTTGACTAACTTATTCCTTGTATTTGCAGTTTCCTTTCTGTCCATTTTCTCCAGCTTCCAAAAAAGCAGAATATTGCTCCCAAACTTCTGTTGTGAAAGTTATGCAGGGTTTGTTCCTAGCCTTCACATGAACAGATGCCCTAAACTCATTCCTATCCAGGGGTGATCTTCACCCTAAAGCATAGGCTTTATGCCACTCTGGTAGTTTATACCAAATACTCTAGAAATTAAAATAGATACCATTATTACTTCTACTAATTATACCAAATTATACCATGCATTGTGGCACTAAGCTACGCACATCTTACTGTGTGAACTATGACAATTTAATATGCTTGCTCAAATGTAGTTTTCTGTATGACACACTTTCTGTATGACATTTTCTGTATGTATTAGTGTTTCATATGGACATGAGTACAGCATTTAAAAAACAAATAATTCTGTACAAGTAACAAATGTAGTATTTAAACTAGGGTGGAAGGAGAAAGACATTGAAGACTGTGGTAAATGTACTGATCAGGGATCTTGTAAAATTCACATCACTGGTATTTTGATAGACATTTCTGTAGAGCAATTTGACACATTTAAATTAATCCATTTTCAGGCAGAACGTTTCATTACTTTCTCTCTGTAGCCCATAAGTAAAGCTTTCAAATTTCATCTGCCTTTT